AATACCAGAAACACGACGGCGATGATTCATATCGACAGTAAAGTAAATGAATGCCACAAAATAAATATACACAGTCGAATGGATCCCTTTTGAACAATTTACTAATATTGAATATCTTCCAAAAAGAAGTTTTAGATAAATTTAAACTTTTTACAAATCCAGACGATAAATTTTTCGGAAGAATGAATCATCCCGAAGAAACTGGTAATCCACCATGAAAAACTAAGGATATTGATGCTAACACTTTTTATTATGTACATACCCCATCTAAAATATCTGATCTTATAAAGAATGGTGGTAAAGTATTTAAAGAGAATAACAAATTGCAAAGTAAAGAAGCATTTGAATTCTTACAATCAATAATTGAATCTAAGGAAATTAAAGCCACTATTAAATTAACTAATGAGATAAATACAAAAGGAAATGACGAATTAAAAATTCAAATCAAACAACTGCTAGAACTTAAAGAAATTGATGAATTACCAACTAATTGAAATGAATTACTGGTAAAAAGAAGTGATTTAGAAAAATTAACTGAAAAGGAAGCGAAAATAAATGATTTATTGACCCAAATTAAAACCTTACAAGAAAAAGTGAAGGAGGAGAAAATTTCTCCTTTATCCAAAACTCAAGAAGAACTAAATGACAAAGAAGAAAAATTTAACAAATTAGAGTCTGAAATTAAGGAACTACGAAAGAAAGAGGATGAGTTAGAAGATGAAATTTCTGATTTGAAAAAACAGATAAGAAAAGCTAATAATGATCAGGAAAAAAAAACACTAGAAGAAAAACTGGAAGATGTCAATAAAGAACTAGAAAGAACTCAGGATAAATTAAAAGTTAGCGAAGAAACCCGTGGCAAATTGCGAAACGAAATGAATACTTTACGGGATAAGTTAAAAGAGTTACAATCAGCCAAAGGTAATGAACTAGATAGGTTAAGTTATGAAAATAATCAACTTACTCTTGATTTGAATGTCGCAAAAGAAAAAATAAGGAAATTAGAAAATTCGGAAAGAAGTTCTGAACAAATAAAAGAATTGCAAGAGAAAAACAATTCCCTTACTAAGCAACTAGAAGAAACAAGATCTGAATTATCATTTTTAAAAATAACAAACTCTCTTAATGAGAGCAAAGACAAAGAAGTTGGTGAAATGGCAAGTGAATTATCTGACTCCAATAAAAAATTAGAAGAAGGCAAAGAGGAAAAAACAAAGTTAGAAAAAGAAGTTGGTGACAAAGAAAAACAAAAGCAAACTTTAGAAAATGAGGGGAAGATTAATAGCGAGGAATACAAAAAATTATTGTCAGAACTTGAAGAACTAAGAAAAAAATTAGCAAGCATCGATCAAGAAATTGAGAAATCAAGGAGACAAAATGAAAACTTAAAAGAGCAACTCAATGCTAGTTATCAGAGTTTACAAGAAGAAATTGAAGAAAAGAAGGAACAATTAAGAGAAGCAAAAAATAATTGCCTAAAAAAAATGGAAAGAAATCAATCCTGGCGTGATTTTGTGAAAAATTCATTGGGTGATACTAATGATGCTGATAAAGTAGAAACACTTTTAAAAGCTCAAAAAGAAATAACGAGGGATAGTAATGATAAATTTGCCACTGACGAAAAAAAAAGAATTATTGAGTCAACACCAAAAGAACTAACTGGGGAATTAAATGCACTATGTGTTCTTCAAGATTATCTTACCCAATTAGAAATAAAAAAGGAAAATTTTGAAAAGGCTGGTCAGGCTCTCAAAACTGTGTTAATAGCACCAGTTATCCCTCCTCATTTACGCAACAAAGAAAGCGACATTGAGGATAGAAATGATATTGAAAATAATGTCAACTATAATAAAATATTCTCGGAATCAAGAGAATTTATCTTACAGAAAAATCATAAAACAGAAAAACTCCCTACCAGACTTTATAACATTCAGGAAAACAGAGTAGTGGAAACAAAAAATAATACTGATATTAGTAATTATGCTATTCTTTCATATGTGTGAGGCGAAGCCGGTGATTTGTCTAAAAAGGCTGGGAATGAGTTAGATAACATATGGATCAATATTGGTTATAAAAACAAATTAAACCCTTTGGGTTATAAGTCTTTAAAGAAGGCTAGTCAAACTTGCAAACTTTTAGGAATTGATTACTTATGAATGGATCAATTATGTACTAACCAAGGAGACAACAAAGATAAAAATCAAGAGGTTCCGAAAATGAGGCAATATTATTTCAACAGTGCGGTGACATTAATCTCAATAAATAGAAGCCTTGGTGATGAAGAAATTACGGAGAAAGGAGTGGAATCAGAAAAGGTACTCGAAAAAATGGTCAGATCCAAATGATTTTCCCGTTCTTGAACTTTCCAAGAAGGCTGATTATCTAAGCAAACTATTTTTATGTTTGACAATTTCTTAATAGATGGCAGTATATTAGCTAACAGATGAGTACTTGGTCAGCCAGCCTATACAGATACCGCCCATTACAAAAGTATTCTTGATGAAGGTTCCCAGAAAATCGCTACGCCACTTGGTTGGGTAAACTATAAAGATGGCTATAATGAAGAAGATAGAATATCATTTACACTTAACCAAGCCTTACGAGCTATCAAAAATCGTGGTCGTGGAGTGTCTATTGATGGCATTTATTCGATATTAGGTTTATTGCCTTATGGAGATAAAGTAAAAGTTGAGTATAAAGAATGAGGCGAAAGATATGAAAAGAAAGATTTAGAAAAAGCATTGTTTGATATCATGCTCGCTGCAATAAAAGAAGGGGGTCGTGGTGAACTTTTTGCTTGACATGGTTTAGGAGATAGTTGATTACCTGAGGTATATGAAGAAGATGATAGTGGTTATCCAAGAAAAACAAAAGGGGGGACAAGTATTGAAGGGGGAATAAATATTATCCATAAACAGTTTGAAGAAGTTGACTCTAATTCAGATATTAAGATTACTGTCTCCAAATGTGTTATAGAGGAAATACATGGAGGTTCAAACCGCAAGGAAGAAAAAAATAAAGGCACAGTAATAGATAGTGGTGCTTGTACTGGAAATGTTTTGATAGCTCCTGCTTCCGATGATGATCAGAAAGCGATGGAAATAAGATTATTAGGTACAAGTGAACTATTCGAAAAAAAGATAAAAAAAAATGACATATTGTTATTACTTAGCAAAAAAGAATGAAAGAGTAATAAACCTTTTGTCCTAATAGTAAGAAAAAACGAAGATAAAGATATTTATCAAAGAATAGGTTTAGCAGAGACAAGTAAGGAAGATTGGGAAAAATTACAAGAAGTAGGAAAGAAAGAAAAATTAATAATTAAAATTGATGAAGAGCAAGTACAGATTCAGGTAGCACAAGTGGAAATCCCACCTAAATAAAAAAAGGGGACTCACCCTCCCCTTATCCAATAAGCATTTAGTGCTTGAATATTTATTAGATATTTTTCAAAACTCTTTAAAAACCCCTCTCAAACTAAGCAGTTTATCTAAACTTACACTAGCTTTCTTAATAACCTTGATACCCTTTGGCTTGATTTAGATAAACTCTTTGTTTTTTTTGTGAATTAGTCATTAAGGACGTAAAAAAATTGTAGAAAATTACAAAAAAGAAGCCAATTATGCCCGTAGCAAAACTTGTCGGCATTGTCCCCAAGAGTTTCATTACGATAAAAGTTGCGAATTTTAGCCGCCCAAACCAAAGTGGAGAACGAATTAAAAACTCATGAAAGTAATTGTTCCCATAAGAATAACTCCGAAGCAAGGAAAAAAGTCAAACAGGATGGTTGGGAACAAGTTAAAAAATCTACAACTCGTCATTTTTATGCTTGTCGGAAGTGTTGAGGTAAAATTGAACTAGATAAGAGCATTGCCGATTGAGACGCATCCAAAAAACAAGCCCGGGCTGACTTGGCTTACCATGAAGAATACGAATGTGGCCAGGAAGTAACGAAAAAAATTGCTATTTACTTCTCCCCTAACCAAGGCGGCCACGAACACGCGGATTTAACTTACGCAGGAAAAATTAAGAAAGAGGAATTAACTCTAGAAAAGGATAATCAAGGTGAGATTTATCAAGAAAAGACTGGTGATAGTAAGCCAAAAGAAATTAATTGAACTCCGTGGATAATTGGGGGAGTTGGTGTAGTATTAATTATTGGAATAACTTTGGATTTCTTCCATCGCAGGAAAAAGAAAAAAATAAAATAAGTTAACATGAAAGACTGAAAAAATATAGACATAAATTTCACCGCAGAATTACAAAAAGAGTGAGAAGATAAAGGGTTTAGTTATGAACAAACCGGATGGTGAATTAGTGCCGGTTTGCAAGCAAGTGATTCGGAATATGCTCACTGATTAAGGGATATTAAAGGTAAAGATATTGAATGAGTATCAAATTATTTAAAATACGGGGATGAGCAAGAGTTAAGAAAAGAATACCAAAATCACACTGTCAAGCAAAATATCAGTGATGAAAAAATTAAGGAATTAGGAGAAAATTTTTTATTAAAGAAGTGTTAGAGGAAAAATTGATAAAAGAGGAGCAAAGTCAGAAGG